GAAATCAATGAAACAAGATAAACCGGTATGGTTTCCCTAGAAGCACAGAGCTTTTTACCCTCGGAGCGAAATCTCCCGCGTAGCCTTGCAATTATGGTAAAGCTTAATCCCTGGCAGGAAGAATAATCGTAGTTACCTTGCCTTACTGGTACTCTCTCTCGCTCGAGACCTTTTTCATATGGAATGTGGGTTGGAGGACAAAAAATGACATGATTGTCCGGCTGCTACAACTACTGTATTTAACATTTTAGTACTACGGTAAATTCCTCACAAATAAAAACGCAGAGCGGAAAATAGATAGAAAATCGAATAAAAAGAAAGCGCACAAGGGAAAGGATGGTTACAAAACGAATTTCGAGAAGGGGCAAAAGCATGGCGCAATCCAGAACCAATAATAAGCATCATATCTGGTATCGCAGGGAGATAACGAATTTCCTAAGAGAGGTAAGCACTCTAGCTTACTTTGAGCCTTCTGTTATTGTAACTCTGCCTAGTTATGTAAGTTGAAGCAAAGAATAGTCAAGTAGGCTTGAATCCGGGAAGATTTCATAGTGGACGACAGGTCCAGCTATGCAACACTGGGACCATATAAGAATTTCGAAGGTACTGTGAGAAAAAGAGGAATTTGGAACGTTCAACAATCCAAGAAATTCCGTAGTAAGCATAGCCGTATCGAAGCGTAATGTTTCCTATTCATAGAATTCTTAAGGAATTCTATTCATACATACGACGGCACTTATGCTGATCACATTCTCCAACATGTACATGGAGAATAACATTCTGGGAAATCTCATTGCAGTCCGTATAGGAATAGATTTGGCGAGCCAGGAAGGGCTCTTGCAGAGAAAGAAATTTAAGTTAGACGGAACAGGGTTCTGAACAGAGCGGGTAGCGTGGTTCCGGTGTTCCGAAATTCGTTTTTGTGGAAGGATAAAAAGGAATAAAGCCTTAGCTGTTAACAATAACTTTCGGGATGCGGCACGTATTTTACTTCCATTCAAAGGAGTAATGGCATTTGACTGCGAAATGGCCTTAACAATCACTTTGGTGAACTAGTCAATGGGCCGTTTAGCGTTTTTATTCTCGGAGATGGGTCTGGTACCCACTGAAGGGCCCAGAGGCATAAAAGGCTTGCTTGACCTGGGTGAGGGCCAATCCCAGATGCCCCTAAATACAGCACCTTCACCAAGAGTCGTGCAAGTCTCCCGATAGTTCAGGTCACCACCAACCCTCAAGCGGAATATCTCACTCTGGGGACGGGAAAAAATACCGAGTAAGATTACTCTGTTTCTTTAGTACCGCTTCATTCAGCTAGTTTCATGAATCGCTGCATTTTAGCGGATGTGATTGGGTCCAATACATTTGTAAACGTTTAACTAGAAGGTTTGAAAAGTTCTACAAAGTACAAAGACCTTTGAAGGGCTTAACGGCACCGTCGAAATGAGCAACCCGTATAACCATTAAATAATCCCCTATATCTTCCTTATGAAAGTAGGCTCCAGTGATCTTTGCGAGAGAAAACCCAATATGGCTGGATGACCTGAGCGCGGGGACTTGCTACGCTCCCCACCTTCACCCTCATGTTCTGTAGAAGTTATGAAACCTATAGATTTTACTCCTTTTTTCACTTCACAGGGTTCAATCTTTGGAATACAGCAGTATATGTTAATTTAGATGAAGAATAGTTATAGGGCTCTTGTTTTTTTCAGTACAACATCAACTGGACAAAACTGTATCAGGAATCCATGGAACCAGAGTACGAAATTCATGGAGCTAAAGGAAACGTTACGGGGGTAAGTTCTGAAAGAGTTAATTCCTTCATTTGGCCTCATTCTCTGTAAATCCTAGCCATGATGTAATAGATATCAGAAATATGGGGGGCCTAAAGTTGTCTCGCATCTCGGGAACGTTTCTCAGCCTAGCGGTGAAAATAACCCGTCAGTACGATAAGCCGTGAATAAGTAACTAGAAATTTGAACGCAGATCGGCTTGATGGGAGCAACGAATTGTTGGTTGAGTTCGTACAGGCCGCTTTGTAAAGACCTGTAAAATGCTGGAACCAAAATGATTCACTAAGGAAATTTCGTAGCTTCACAGGTCTGTGCAAAGTGAAACCTTTTCAATTGACATGAATCAACGAAAGGAAGAAGCAAATTTGCAAGCGAAAGTGCCCTCTTCAAGTAAAACAGCGTCGAAGTTTGTGGCGAGTCATTATTTATAGCCTTTCTAATTTTCGGAAGCATAAAGTTTTTTTGCGTTTCGAACTATCTTATCCAGCAGAATTGCAGACATCCGAATATAAGGCGGTTTTCAGATAAGCGCCATGGTTATGAACAATGATATAAAAGATTATGTTCCGATATTCGATCAAAAAAATCCAAGCCGCTCAAACTTTCACTCTAAGGAAGCCAATTTCAGCCAAAAGAAGAGAAGGTTTTATTCAAGACGACATTCACAAATACGACTCAAAGAGAACAGGAGTACTCCTTCAAAACGGAACGATGCACAAGGCGAGTTTTAACTGTGTTTGCAACAATTAAAAGCGGTCTCATTGCATGCCTAAGGGCACGCCCCAAGGTTAGTTGAGCTGACCAGCGCGCGTGTAGTAGGGGGCAAGGTTCATGAGTGGCGGGCGGAGCCATTTTCATGATTTGGGCGAGCACTTCTAAAGCACTAGTGGTAATGGGACCTGCGACCATCTAAAATCACGTGTGAAGGAAAGGCGCGCGCGCAGCAGGTGCGTAGCGTATGCATGTGGCAGACTTGCTCCTAGCACTCTTCAACAAAGGCAGCTACGCTGGTAACTCTCAATGTTTGCTTGTAAAATGCCAAACTGGCACGCATTAAGCGTTTTTCACGAAGCGTTTTTACGAGTTCTGCTGCTTTTGCTTTAGCTGATTGCGTGCTGCACCTAACTCCCACAGGCTGCATGTTCGCGAGCCCACCCACTGCACGTGATTATGAGCAGAGGTTTATGCGCCTTGGAAGATCGCAACAGTTTTGCAGTTTTATTCAGCTAACTTTGGCGTTAAATTTCAAAGGGAAAAGGTCTTCAGAGCTACAGGTCGCTCAAAAGGCTGCTCATTCAATTTTCCACAGACCTCGTTCTTCAACCCTGCTTAACAGTTTATTTGCAGAAGTTCTTCCACCGTGATCATTGAAAAAGGTGTATGTCGTGGAATGGAGGTGGCGCTCAAATTGAAAACGCCCTGCGAAGTCGTCGAAGCTAATGCCGGCTTCCACCAAGAAGTTCAATTGAATCATATCGGTAAGAACTTGACCTCTGCTTAGAAAATGAGCAAGGAAACTGGTCCTTTCTTCCATTTTCCATATTTTCATAACTTTCTCTGTTCATATTTTTCTCTCTGTGTGTCTTTAACTCGTCGCTCAAACTTGAATAAACTGCCTTTATTGATGACAGGAAACAAAAAGACTTCAAAAGTACCCCGACATGGATAGAAAACAATGTTTACTTGACTGGTCCAGTAACGATCGATCACTTCAGGCGAGAACACCAGCGAAGAAGAACTGGCTTGGGGTGTTGACAGTACCGTTCGGGTACCTCCTTCATCGGAAACTGTAGCCGAGTTGGTGATCCTCGAAGAGCAATGCAAGCGCGACTTCCGTATCGAAAATCGGATGAGTGGCAAAATCCTCGTTACCGGTGAGACATCTATCAACGTTGCGATTTTTGAAAGGGATCCAATTGGTCACCAAAATGATTCCCACATATTTAACTAATAATTTTTCTCTTCGCTTTTTCTCATACAAAGAACTGCTGGCAATGAGTTAAGCAATTGGCGTCGATACTCCTTTGCGATGCGACGGAATCCCCCCCCCACTGTCAAGGCCGTGAAGGATGGAAAATGTGTTTGGCATGGGAAGGAGTATCCGAGATTTGACCTATGGCACGCCTCCGTAACGAGCCAATCGCCCTCTTACTCTTGGGAACGAAGCTTTCCCTGCCATCAAAGATATCCCTGAGAAAATACGAACACCCTTAGAATTTCCTCCTCTGGTATAACCATCTTTCCACACCCCCCCTCTACTACCTACCCTCTTACTTTTTACAACTTCCTACCACATTTCCGAAGATTTTCTCCAAGAGAACGGGATT